GATACTCATTACGTGTTACCAGAGTCACGTGACTTCCGCTGTCGTAACAATATGTATTGCACTTTGTAATGGCTATATATATATATAAGTTACGAAATGCGCAAAATTAAAAACTGTGTTTACCTTAGCACCATTCATTTTCATTTAATACAGTTCTGACTGATATTCTACTTTACTGTGTTTAAAATTTTAAAACTTTTCCATTAAACTTTAAAGTACCAAATTGCGAATGGAAACAGATAAATAAGTTGGATTTTATTATCATGTTTAACTAGACTTCTTAATTAATTTAAGTATTATCTTTATCATATATCACACTTAATATTATTATTATTATACACATAATGTGGCCACAATGTAAGAGACTTAGGGAAATCATTAAATGTTAAATTTCGATTAATTTCTTATACCGTTATATTATGTACGAGTTCGAGTGCTAAAGACATCACAGTCTAATTATTAGTAAACTACTCACAAGTCCACAGATGGCAGCACTAGTAAAATGAAAATACGAACCTAAAATGGAACACACGAGTTTTATCTTAGCATCCAATAAAAGAGAACTGTAATGAAGCAAAAAGAGATTGGCCCCAGAAAGAATTGCTATGAACTTTTTGCTAGTTTCAAAGCAAATGTATTCATATTTAAGTAGGCATGCATAGTTTAGTTCAATTGAATGTGTTATTTTTTTATTATTTAGGGAGCATTATAAATAGTTATGTTTTTAAAAGAAAAAAACTACTATTGTTATAAAATAAATTACAGTGAAAGCAATAAAGATTTTGTAGGTTTTGAACCAAACTAAATAACAGTAAACCTTTTTTTGATTTACGGTATTTTCTTATTTTGATTATTTTGAACCAAACTAAATAACAGTAACCTTTTTTTATTTTGATGTTTTGAGCTCTTTTGTGTTTAGAACAATATATACTAATTTTTAAAGTATCAAATTTAATTTTTGTTCAATAAAATTCTTTCAAATGCGACTGTAGTTTTTTCCCCCAAATTTAAGATCTCTCTCAGTAAAGCCACCCTTAATGGCTTAGCGGAAAGTTTAATTAGATTTCGATATTCGTGATAGGCATAGCACCGATATCCCATTGTGTAGTTTTATGCTTAACAACAAACAAAACTCTTAGTTAATTCATTTATAAAGTGAGTTCTGGTGAGATTCACAAGTTCTGGATTATGTAATAAGAATCTGTGTGTTTTATTAGTAATGTTGTCATACCATTGACAAGAGGAAAAAGAACATTAAATACACGAATGTGAATCTGGAGTCAAGAAGTAGGTTTGATGATGCAAAACGGAAGTATCTTGACTGTCATAAAACGATATGGTTTGGAACTATTTATCAATTTTAGTCCAAGTGGTTGAGAAACACTGAACACATGATAAGTAAACACGTTCTTCCTTCTTTTCTTTTAAATTAATTGAAACTCGACAGTAGGTAGGCTTAGAGGTAACACATAGCAACATCCGTATAACAGAATGCTATTAAATACCAAACTAGTTGACTTTATTTGTTCAGTGGTAAATATAAAAGGTTATAACGCTAAAACTCGGGTTTCAATACTCACGACGAGCAGAACACATATAGCCCATTGTGTAGCTTTCTGCTAAACAAAACAAAAACGAACAATATTATTTGTTTAAGTTTCTGGAGTGAAAGCGTGGTTGTAATAAAAGGTTTGTTTGTTTGTAATTATGCACAAAGCTACACAATGGGCTATCTGTGCTCTGCCCACCACAGGTATCGAAACCCGGTTTCTAGCGTTGTAAGTCCGTAGACATACCGCTGTGCCACTGGGGGGCTGTAATAAAATGAATAACTTTATATACATATATATATGTTCAATTCAATTAACTACCTAGCTTCATCTCAATTTTTAAGTATATTTTTAGAATTTCATCTGGCAAATTTCTCAACTTTGGTTTACCATACTGTGGAGTTGTAATTTTTGTTTCTTGAACATCATACTTCCAGGTTTTATAGTTTGTTAAAAAAACATCCACCAGATGCTAGTTTCGAACCACATTATAGGTATTACACGATAAAAAAATACAAAAATGCTAACAAATTAATTTTAGTTTTCAAAGGTAAGTTAAAAACACTATTTTTAATATTGTAATATCCATAACCAAAAATTTCATAAAACTAAAGCCATATCTTTTCATGATATCTGTTAAACCGAAGAAAGATTGCTGTGGAACAACCACGGAATTATTCACCATGAAATTTATTGTCAACTCAAAAGACAACCAGCGTATTGGACAGGGAGTAAAACAAAAGATAAATTGTTTGGGCTTGGGTAGAACTATGTAATTGGTGTTTCGTTCTGGGTGATGATAAAAGGTATACTATGTTTTTTCATAGCAAAGCCTCCTCGGGATATCTACTGTGTCCACCGAAGGGAATCGAACCCCTGATTTTAGCGTTGTAAATCCGAAGACTTACCGCTGACAATGATAAAGGTACTTGGGTGTTGTGGGCATATTGAGAATTTTCAGTAATACCTGATGCTGCTCTCCATTTGAATTGTTTATGTCTTCAAAGTGAAAATATGCTTTCGTGACACAAAATCTTCGCAAGGACCTTAGCTTTTAATACATATTTTAACTGAACATCTATAAGAATTGAAAAACTCTATAACAAAAAATCTACTTCAAAAATGATTATAGTTGTTAAGGGTATTTTCACCAAAATTATGTTCGCGAGAAGGATTATTTCAAGAACATCGTGTACACCACTTGTTAAAAAAAATGTATACTATAAATAATCTTTATATTTCTTCTTACGAAACAGTAGTCATTTTACGGACTTACAATGTTAAAATCAGGGGACTGATTTACAAGAAGTTGTTTTCATGCACATTGTTTATTTTTGGAATTGGGGTTAAAATATCTTTACTAAAACAATATATGATGTTTCTAATATAATAGAAGAATATCCTATTACAATAAAACACTTTACATTTATGTATGAAAAAGTGCTGGAAATTAAACAAACTTAATTGTATTAAAATAAGTTGTCAAAATAGATGAACGTGTACCAAAATGAGTTTTCATAAGAGATAAAGTTAAAACAAAAAATAAAGGAATTAAGTTTAGTGAATTTGGTATTAATTTATAAAGTGCTTTTGAAACCTAATGCATTGTCGCTTTAACAGAAATAGCTATGGTTTGAAATTAGCTTACGTTTAGTTTATTTCAAATATTGTTTTTACGTATACTATATATTTACTTTTAGATTGAACTGAATTTAGATTAAATTGGTATACGTTTCCTACTTCAACAGGCAAAATATCATTTGATTATTTATCTTATATATGAGATCTTTGTATACCTACTGAAATTCATCGTAGTGTAAATAATCAGTATATACCAATTAAATCTATATTACTAGTTGTCAGTTTTAAATACAAATAACCCATTGTACCTCACATTTATAATTATAAAACTTCATTGGTAATTTAAGATTAGATTGAGATGAAAGAAGAGTGTTAAATATACACGACTGTTTAAATTAAAGCATTTGTATTCTAAAGTAAGTGAGCAAACCTCTGTAGACTTTTGACGAATAGCGACATTATTTAAAGCTCCGGATACAATTGTCATAACCAACAGTGTAACGTAAGTAAAATTATTACCGATTGTATTGTAATAACAGAGCAAAGAAGAAGAATTCGTCTTGTCAATTGTTTTCTAAAGTAACTGAACCAACCTGTGTGGACTTTGACAAAAATAGACAATTATTTAAAGCTCTGGATTAACCTGGGGTAATTAATTGTGTAAAGAACATTTGTATATACGTTTGACTTGTTTTAAAAACAATTGAAATGTGTGCTGTTTGTTTATTGTTGAAAGTTATGGTCAACAAGTCACAGACACCTACTGTAAAGAATCCGGCCCACACATATGTTTGTTTGTAATTAAGTACAAAGTTACACGATGGGCTATCTGTGCTCTGCCCACCACGGGTATCGAAACAAGGATTCTAGCGTTATAAGTCCACAGACATACCGCTGTGCCACTAGGGGGGGGGGGGCACACATATGTAAAAAACAGACATTGACTTAGTTTTTTTGTAAAAATAATCTTTCAAGATCCTTTCCATAAACATGTAGTGACAAGAAATTTGTGAACTGGGGACGATGAATTACATTGTAAAATTCTACAAAGGGCTCTAAATTTAGAATTTTAAATTTTGAAATTCCAAGTATAATCATTGAAGATTTCATACTTAAAATTAATAAAAAGAAATATTCTCCACCTTTCAATAAAAACATCTTTTTCATGTTTCAATCTTAAATTAATATATGTCACTTTATCTAAATATAAATCAAATGTACCTTTTTTCAACTTTAAAAGTAAATTTGGAAAATCAGCAAAATATATTATTACCCGCATGTATGTGCTTTCTTATATCAAAGCCACATCAGGCTATATGTTTTCTCCACCAAGAGGAATCAAACCCCTGACTTTAGTGTTGTAAATCCGAAGACCTACCACTCTCCCACCTGGGGACCAGACAGGTAATAACTTTAATTTAATGTGTAAAACGTCTTATACCTAAATTCTTATCTTAGATACCAGCCCTGATGATGGTAACTGTTTGTTTTGTTTGTAATTAAGCACAAAGCTACACAATGGGCTATCTGTGCTTTGCCCACCATGGGTATCGAAACCCGGTTTCTAGCGTTGTAAGTCTGCAGACATGCCGCTGTGCCACTGGGGGGCAACATTCTGCACACTCTACAAGATCGAAAACGTGTTACACACTGGATATACCTGAAATGGTTGCAGAGTAACAGTGTTAAATAATAACTGAACCAAACTTGAAACAATATCTTTTAATACACCCTGTACAAATCAAAAGTTAATGCCCTGAAAAATTATCTTGCAAGTTTACAAAGCTCCAGATACAAATTTGCAAGCCTGGTGAATACAGTTCTAATAAAAAAAATTATAAATTAATAGAGTAAGATAAGCACACATATTCTAAAGAATGAACTGATTTTAGGTGAAATACACAATTTCCTTACATCATATTGTGAGATTATATTTGAAAAATATAAAACAATTTATTTAAATCCTGGGTTAAGTAACTTGATATATTCATGATGAGCATGTTCACAGTCTTGACTCGAGTGGTATGGAGAGGACTAGGGAAGTGCATTTAACATATAAATACTACTATTTCTGACTTATTACTAGCATTCTGAGTACAGCATAGACAAGATTACAAGCACTGTAACTTGCTTTATTCTATTAAGCAGTGAAAGTGTTATTCTACTCACTTTGATAAAATGAACTGATATTAGGTCCATGGCTAAATACAAGCTCTATCTAAAGTAACATGGAGAATTGCATTTGTTGCAAAAAGCTAAACAGGAAGAAAAAGTTACTTTTTAAAATGATTAATGATAGTTAACTCTACAATTATAAGCCTGATACATTTGCTTTTAATGTAGAAACTATTTATTATATACTATCAACAAAGTTAAAATGCTGATAGACATAATGCAGCCAGTATAATCTTCAAGGTTCTCCTATGTTTAATTAATGAACAGATAATGCAATGCGTAGTTCTAATGATTAATACATAAAATTACAATATACAGTTTTACTCAACAAATTACGATGCACTGCACCATTCAACAATTAAAATCATTGCAACACACAGCTGTAATGAGTTTTAAACAAATAATCTCAGCTATAAACCCCCAATTATCTTAACTCTGACATTTAACAACAGACATTAAGATGTGTTTAATTTGTAAACATAAAAGTGTTAAATACATTTCAAAACAAATTACATTTAGTAAAGTATTACTTACAAAGTTGCAACTGTTTCCAAAAGTAAAACAAATTCACTGGCAATTAAAGACATTGCACATATCAAAGTCTAAAAAATTGAAGAATAACAAATATTAATTTAATCAGACTTCTAATTTTTTTTAAATGTTATGAGCATATGTAGGCTTTTCAATTATGATACCAGAGATTTGTTTTTCAATCAGCATGTGAATAATTCCAATGTTTTTTGAAAGTTCATACATTCTTTCTTGTTCAAAGGATAACGGTCAGTTTTAGGTTATTTTATTCAGTTCTTAGATATTTTAAAAATATGTTTCAAATTGAATTAATAGTTTTTTTCAACATAGTTGTGCTTCTTGTTGGAGAAAAATCAAAAGGCATAGACTCTCTCTCTCTAGACATTGTTTAAGTAATTAATATTTCACTTTTTATGGTTTTATCAGTAAAAAAAGAAATGCCCCTAAACAATGATAAGTTCCTGGGAATACATTAAGAATAGAAATCTAATTTTTTGTTTCCTCTTAGAGAAGATTCAGTAGAAGCCTGTCATCATAAAAATGAAATGTTTTTCTGAGAAGTTACAAAGTTTAACAAATTAAAATATAAAAAAAACTTAATAGCTTTGTTTGTTGAATTTCAAGCAAAGCTATTTGAGGTCTAGTTGCATTAGTCATCTAATCTTTTAAGTAAGAGATAATAGAGAAAACAGCTAGTCAACACCACCCACTGCCAACTCTTCACCTAATAAATAGTGGGATTTGATCACCATTTTTAAAATGCACCTACGGACCCAAAGTCCAGAGTGCAACTATTTCTTTCTTTTGGCAGTAACGATGTGCGAACCTCAGATCCACAGTCCAGCATACTAACCATTTGGCCGACCTCAGCTCAACTTCATAATATACTGCTCGTCTTAAAGATACAAAAGAAGCAGCCACTACAATTTTTCTTTTTTTTTTATCCTACAAGTCAATTTTTGTGTCATCCAATAATTTCGTAATTCCATTCTACATTTCAACTAGTTATTTCTCCGATTCAAGAAAATAATGAAATGCAGCAAACACAATACAATAAGCAAGGTACTACATGTTGTACCCATCTACATACAAATTTATGTATATATGCATGTTTATTTGTTTGTGTCTACATATGTATATGTATATATTTACATTATTCAAACTAATATACAATAGCATGCTTTACATAGACTGTATCAGTTTGTCTTATATAAGCAGACTAGTATGTAGCAAGAAGAGAAAAGATCCAATACAAGTTAGTTTAGAAAATGGCATTCTTTGTCTGACCCAACTTGTTTGGGAGTATTTTCAAGCTTTTCAAATTAAATCTGAAAGTACCCAACACAAAGTGTACTGAAAGTTGTACCACGACTAGTGTTGACCCTTGAGGTATAGAAGATTATACTTACAATAATAATAAAAAACACAACTTAATTTCAATAACTCAAAAATTAAATATCTTTTTTTTCATTGCTTCAAATACAATAAAATAAAAAACAAGAAGAGCATATACTGGCACTACCTAAAGTATGGTTCAACTTGTGACAGTTACTATACTGGCACTACCTAAAGTATGGTTCAACTTGTGACAGTTACTATACCGGCACTACCTAAAGTATGGTTCAACTTGTACATTTGTGACAGTTACTATACCGGCACTACCTAAAGTATGGTTCAACTTGTGACAGTTACTATACTGGCACTACCTAAAGTATGGTTCAACTTGTGACAGTTACGATACTGGCACTACCTAAAGTATGGTTCAACTTGTACATTTGTGACAGTTACTATACCGGCACTACCTAAAGTATGGTTCAACTTGCACATCTGTGACAGTTACTATAGACTGCAACTATGTTATTGTAACTTTAAGCACGTTTTCTACACCTATCAACTGAAGCAACTTAACTTTGTATAAGTAAATTTACCTGTTAAACAATTCAGCATAATTTTAAAGAAAATTATATATATATACCGATCGATTTCAACTATGTAAGAAAACTTTAAGAAATGAATTCACTATTTAAATCAATGATTTCAGGAAAACAGAAAAAAAAACAACAAAACAACAACTGAAGACTCAAAATCAATAAGTGAAACAATTCTCATTCTCATATTACTAAATCCATGCAGCTGTATTTGACAAAAAAAACTGTTATTTTAACACTTCACTAATCCTATTTACTTATGAATAACCCAGTCATTTACACATAAATACTTTTGTTTCCATTGGTATACATAACAAAATAAACTTTCATTTATTTTTCTTGTGATCTTAACTAAACAGTTAAGATCAAGAACAAAAAATCTGTTTTTCTAACCAAAACTGTTTAGTAATACATGGAGAACAAAAAACCTGTTTTTCTAACCAAAACTGTTTAGTAATACATGGAGAACAAAAAACCTGTTTTTCTAATCAAAACTGTTTAGTAATACATGGAGAACAAAAACCGGTTTTTCTAACCAAAACTGTTTAGTAATACATGGAGAACAAAAACCTGTTTTTCTATCCAAAACTGTTTAGTAATACATGGAGAACAAAAAAACCTGTTTTTCTTACCAAAACATACATGTTTAACAGTATTATTTTTGTGAATAAAGTATAAAAAAATGAGGACAACACAAGCTTAACACATTTCCAACACAATTCTAAATGTCTTTAAAAAGTTTTAAACATGTCAAAATAAACCATTTCTTATGTAAATATAAATCCAACAAACAGTGAGTTCTTCCTAGTTAAAGCTGAGAGCCATCTAAAACAATAACTTCTTAAAAAAGATTATAATCCAATTTACACTAACTGCAATAACCTTAGGTTAAAGCTAAAGTTAAGCATTGCATTGTTCTCTTTTGGTTACTGTTATAAACACAAACCAATATCCTGAACTCCTTTAGTTTACATACATAATAATAATAATAATCAAAATTCAATAATACATATTTTCTCATTCAATCAACTTTAAGCTTTGAAGGTTAAATTATGGAAAAAAACTTTTCACTAAACTTTTCAGCACACATTAATCCTTAAAGGTTTTACTACCTAATAATCAGACTGCTTTACCAAAAGACTGGAAGATATTGAGCAAAGGCCTAACTGGCACGAGAACTATTTTTTAACAACTAGCTTCGGCTGTTAGTTTAAAAATTTCATACTACTCTTAACCTTCTAAAATTCATGTTTCTCCACCAAAATCAGTAATTTAATCTTAAATAAAACTGCTGGATCAATTTCTCATTAGCATAGTAGAAGTCTCTGATAAAACAGGAAAATGTGACAATAAAAAAACATCAGACATACCTAGCCAACAACTATTTCTCTGTCTGTTGTTGTTAAATATTTATTGAAGATTAATGAGCTGGCCCAAATAACACTGTCTGCTACAAACCTTAAGTAATTAAAAACATTGAGAAACAAGTCTTTTCATCAATGTTTACTGCCTTCAAGCATCTGTTTCTCCTCTCAGTCGAAGTCTTGCAAAATCTTCGAAAATGATGTCATCATCCTGATCTGCTAGTCCACTTGTTTGATCACTAAAATAAACACAACATGGATACTTTGGTGGTTACACATTAGATACAATACATGTAGCCCATATAGAAAGAGTTAACTCTTTCCCTATGGGTACCCTTTTCTACAACATTTTTAAAAACATTTAACATTTTCAAAATTTAATCAAACTACTTTATTATCAATATATGTGATTAAAACTTGACATCAAAACACAGTTAATATATCAAATTTTAATACAACTTTTAATTTCTTAGTTCTATAAGGAAATATTTTAAAAATGCCTTAAACTCCCATGGTATGAGAATTCTGACATTTACTCTCTCGGTCTCCGTTCTTCCCTAATTTATTTATCACCCCTCCCCAGTAGTACGGAATTTAACACAAATTACTCATTATAATATAATAATTTCTCAGTATACCATTAGTATAAAAAAGTAGGTTTAAGTTTCAACAGCAAAACAAGAAGAACCAGGTAAGTACTATATTTTTTGCTTTTCATTTGGATTCTTTATTTATTATTATAAAACTAACTAAAATGTAAAAATTATAAACTTATTTGGTTACATAAGGTAAAATAAAAGTTAAAAAATTCTTCACAATCTTGCAAGCAGCTCGTGCATTACATAATTTGATATGGCATCATGAACTGCACATTCCCCAAGTGATTTACAACTTATGTGGTGGGATTATTAGTTAGACACAGTTCAAATGTCAATAATATTAAATATAAATAGATGTATATTGTTACGAGCTTTAAGCTACTTAGCATAAACAACTGTGGTTTCCTGTTACAACTTGCAGTCATTTTAGAAAGAAAAAAAGGGTAATTTAGATTTAATTCCTAATTTTTATGGAGGTTACGAGGTTGGTCAAATCGACCAACCCCATATAGAGTCAGGGTACAGAAAATAACAGATAAAATACAAATTTTTTCTGAAACAAAAATACTCAACATTTATTTAGGAGGTTTAGAGATCATGCAATGAAATTTAACAATTTTCAGATGGAGCAGCCAACACTTCAAGAGAGTTTGACTTTCTAAATTTACAGAGAAAGTTTCAGTAAAAATATGTAATTAAAAAATCAGTTTTTTTTAACAAAAGGCTTGTAATGTTTACTAATAGTCTGTGAAATTTCGTGAAGATACGCAAACATTATCAAAAGTTATAATACAACTAATCTCATGGTTACTCTGGTGGTTACATAGTAGGCGCAATGCACCTAGCCCATTGTGAAAGAGTTAATTAAATAACCATTACCATTGTATTTCAATATAATTATTTCAAAATAAAATATTTTTAAAATGCTAAATATGCTTTTTTCTTTGTTTCATATGGCATTTCTTCTTTTTCTATTGCTCAGTTTACATTTTATTATGCCCACCATACAATGTGTATAGTGGTTATCAAATTAGAAACTCAAATTTAAGATATTTACAAGCTAGAATATAAAATAAGAACATTCTCCCATTTTTAGATTTCCCGAGATACCAATATATTTTTAAAACCTACCAGAGTAGCCTTCGCCCACTACTCCACAGTTTTTGTCAATGCCTACTTTCTTTAAGACTTAAGTATATGTTCATAAACAAGAGAAAGGGCACTTTCCAAACTACTTAAATCTGACAGTCATTTGTAACTGTCTTGAAGGAGAAACTTGTAATTTTACTGGAAATGTTGAAGTCTGTTAACTAAAAATCATTGCTCTGAACAGATATGAGATTTTTTAAATCCACATATAGTTTAGTTATTAGAAAGCTAAGTAAATTACAGTGGTTTTATGTGTACCAGTACAGTAATTTGATATTTTGGTGTTTTAAATTGCATCTTTGAAATTTACAAAAAATTAATTTGTCCTCTTCCTCCACTTGAGAAAATAAACAAGCCTTACATCAAGGCTTAGCAAGTATTACATGCAGTATATGTCAATTTCATAACATCAAAAGTACTAGAAATCATTGTTTTTCTATTTTTTACTTATTTATTGTTCAATGCTATAAGTAAAAAACAACTAAATATGAAGCATTTATGAGTAAATATTAATAACATGTTCATAAGCATTTACACACTTCGTTCACCTATACTTCTAAATTCCAAACCGTCTAAAGAGAATGACTAACATCTAAATACCAAGCTTATTGGGTTGGTTAAGATTTTGTAGAGAGCCATATCATAAACCAATGAACTGTAAACAAGCCAATACATCTTCTCTCACAGTGTTCTTGGAGCTGGGATTACAATAACCTATGTGGAAAAGTTCTATATATTGCACCTCACAAACTTATTTGATATCGACTGTGTCATAATATGGTGTCACTAAACAGTCTAATGGCAGGAGTGTTGATTCATTGCTGTATGTTCAGTAGGTTTCTACTTCAATTGCTAACAGTGGGATAAATGTAGGAAAGAGATGTGAAAAGGTTAGAAGTAAACACTGTCAGGAGTACTACTTTGTGATCAATACTAAAAAAAAGGATAAAGTTTTCTGAAACAAAACAATAACAAAAAAAAGTTAGATATACATTTAGGAGGTTTTACAGATTACTAAAATGAAATCTGAAAACTTCAGATGAATAAAAGTGTTTTTAATTTTAGCATGAGAATCACTTTGCACATAGAACAGTCAACATTCTAACTAATTTATGGACAAATTTTTAGTAAAAATATTTAAAGTTTTATTTTTTGTCTACAAACGACTTGTAATGTTTACTAAAAGCTTGAAATATTTTGTGAAGGTATACAAAACATGTTAAAAGCTATAGTATGGAAACTCTGATGGTTACTTTGGAGTCACATGATTGATGTAATCCACCAAAACAATAGCAAAAGGGTTAATAAATTTGGAAGAGGTAATTAAAATAAATTATTCCTTGGTTAGAGCATTACATCCTGTATGATTATCATTATTACAATAACCACAGTTCTGAAGTTACAGAAGAAAAATATTCTAAATGGTTAATACATAAGAATAACATTGCAACTTACGTTTCCAGTTGAATGAGATTGGTGTCAACAGGAACCATTTTATCATTATGTTCATCTGATCCTTGAACTGGATTAACAAGTGTGTCTTGTGTCTCCTCAGGTTTTGCATTCATTAGGACAAATGGAAGTTCTGCAATTACATCTCTGTTATAAAAAAAACAACAAAAAACTTAAAATCCAACTAGTTGACAAATTACTTGTCAGCCATGATAATGGTCACTGCTGACAAAGTGAAAAACGGAATACCTATTGTATAAATTTTTTTTTTAAATCAAATGTTATTTTCCACAATCATAGAAACATTAACACATTGGGACATAACCAAGATAAGTTTGATAAAGTGAAAAGTATTGAAAGTATTAAGGTAACTAATGGGTAAAAATGCTGACTACTTTACAAATTGAGAAAACAAGTTATGACAAGATATTTTAACCCTCTTGCCCCAGGTATCCTTTACCGTGCATGACACAATGTTTTAGTGTTTTACATTCAAAATATTATTAAAAAAATTCTGAATTCCCTCTAGTTTGACACATGTGACACATTTTCTCCAGGTATCTTCTCATCTCTATTTTTTTTTTGGTGGTTACGAGGTCAGTCAAATTGAACAACCTAGTATAGAGTTAGGGTAGTGAAAATAACAGATAGAATATAAAGTTTTACTAAAAACAAACATTTGAAATGTATTTAAGATATTTTAGAGATTACACAAATGAAAATTGAGATTTTTTGAGATGAAGAAAAGTATTTTTAACCTTAGTACGAAAATCACTTTGCACACTATTCAAAACAAATACTTGATATATTCAAGGACAAATATTTTTTTAGTTTATTAAAAATATTTCACTAAAAAATATGAGTTTTTGTATGTGAAAAGCTTATAATGTTTACTGAAAGACTGCCAAATTTCGTGAACATATACACATTGTAATGCTTGGAGACAGCTTGAATGGGTAATGAAGAAAAACTATAATATAAGTTTAACATAACAGTAAATGTACAACGTTTGTCTTCATGCATTACTAGTCTCAAAGTGGGTTCCTCATCATCAAAATTAAAATATACACACTGTATCAAATCTATAAAGACTACATTTTTACTTCTCATTTTCCTCCTCCTGCTAAGTGTTAACAACTAACAGTCCTTGGAATGGCCTAATATTTATAAAAAATAATTAATTAAAAAAAACAGTTTAAAACGTAAAATTTACAATTACGAATAGTGGAATATAATTTTAAGAAAAGGTTGGTTTCTTAAATTTCAAATAATTACTTCTCTAGTAAAATTCTTAATTACCTGTCTCTGATCAATTTATTGCTCCATGAAATAGATTGGGGCTTTTTAGTTTTGTTACTTTAATCTATCTTCGATTAGTATTATTTTATAAAAAAAGAGTTCTGACCTAACCACTTCGTAGAAGCAAAACAACCTACCCTCCAAGTGGGCCCAGGCATAGCTTCACCTTCACTTTATACTGGACAATGATTCCCAAATTTTCTTTTTGGTCTGGGTCTGTAATTCTGTACAGAAATAAATAATAAAATATTAGATAATGGTAGTACATATAATCTGTCTACTTTCTCTTTTTCTACAGGTTTTAAATATTACATTTATCTTTGTGCTTTTATGGCAGTTGAGTTTGATTAAGTTGATGTATAATGTTATGTGAAAACAAAGGAACTGGCAGGCTGGAACAAAAACTACTTCTTTAATAATCAGCTTAGCAGTTAAATAAACCACTGAAATGATAAATAATTTTCAACTAATTATTAGATTACAGAAACTCAATTGTAATCTTAGTAAGCAACAACCAAGTAATTATAAGCCACATTCACACTCAGTTAACTTTATACCATTAACTCTATCATTAAGGGTTCGATCCCAGGGACCGGCCTTGTAACCATTTTGTGCTTGTTATAGTTCTCATACTAAAACTTTAATACAGTAGGTTATCTTTACAAAATTTGACAGACTTTTATTAAACATCAAAAGTCTTTTGTACACAAAAAATCAGATATTTTAATGAAGTACTTTTACCAAAGATTTGTCTGTGAATGCATATAGTATTTCTATATACAAGTTCAGTGCTAACGGATTTCCACATTAAGACTAAAAACACTTTTCTTTGTCTCAAAAACCTTGAATTTTATTTGTGTAATCTCCAACACTTTTTTAAATAAACTTCAATTTTTTTTTCTGTAAAACTTTATATTTTCTCTACCCTACTTTATACAAGGTTGATCAATCTGACTGACTTCAGAACCACCAACACACGCACACAGAAAATCTAAATTACCCTTTTCTTTTTTAGAATGACTTCAAATCATAACATGAAACTACATTTGTTTATCCTAAATAGCTTTACACTCATAACAGTATATATCTATTTATACTTGAATTTTATTGCTTTATTGCCCTTTGAAACCCAAATAATTACTCTCTGTACCATTATAAGTTGTAATTCACTTGTCGAACTTGCAGCTCATTACACTATCGAATTACGTAACACACAAGCTACTGCAAGCGTACATCATGAAAAGTTATTATATTATTATCATTATTACTTGTTTCACCTAATCTAACTTTAACTAACATAAAAAATTGCCAATTTTTACATTTCAATTACTTTTATAATAATAAATAAATAAAGAATACACATGGAAAAGTACTTACCTAGGTCTTTGTTTTTGTATTTTTTACCGTCGATTTTTAATGACACTTAATCCAACATTTTATTATACTAACGGTAGTACTGCACTAAATAATTTTTATTTAATTAAATAATGCACTAAAGAACACAGAATAATAAAGTGAAAAAAGCAGACAATGTCCCATAACTATCACTATTTTTTTGGCTTTCTAATATGTGGCAACACTCATTAAAAATTCATCTAAGCTCAATGTGTTTTCCATGGAAATCAAGCTTGAACTGAAAGCAAAATTGGCAATTCTCATTACAGAAAACACTATAATATAATATGTCACTTGATAAACGAAAACCTTGGATTTCTATTGATTATAAATAATACAGTATTGAACAGCATGGAGAACTATTAGCAATTTCTGAAAGAGAGGATGTGGCAAGTGGGGCATGGTTGTCTATTTCATGGCTCTATAACCAAATAATGATTGAAGGCTATGAAAATTATGCCTGAATGATGATATTATAACAAGTTATTTACACTAAATTTCATATATATTGGATGGGTGGTAAATAAATTAGAGAAGAGGAAATTCTTAGGGAGCAAATGTCACAATTCACACACTAGGGGACATTTTACATTTTTTTATTGCTTTATAAAAGTAAGAACTTAAAACTTATATGCTATTAAAATATGGATTATTAGTTATGTTTTTACTCTATATCTATTGATACATCATGAAAAGAAAGTAGTTTAATTAAATTTTGAATGTAACTCACTAAAACCTCTTGACATGTGCAGAAAAAGATGCCCATGGAGACAGGGTTAAATTATATAAAACTATCTGTATGTGATCGTTTAATATTCTTGATGTAAAAATCTTCGCATTCTCAAACTATGGGCATATAAACATACTATAGCCAGTTACAGCAAACAGCCTGAAAAACAAATTGTACAATCCACTCTACTTGAATAACTGACAAAAGGGCTAAATATCAAGATTATGAATAAATATTTACCATAAAACACAATAATGAAACATTCTCAAAAGAAAGAGGGAAATGGAAAAAAAACAAAAAACTTGAAGGTATAAAATGTATCAAAGTTGAGCAACTTACATTGTGGAAGAAGCAAGATTCGTATCCTCATGTTTCAGCTGACCATCAAGAGCTAAGCCTCGTTTGTCTTTGTTGTTTGCAAGCAATGGCTTCAAGTAAAACACCTTTGATAATGTAAATCCAGGTCCTATAGGACAACCATCCCTGATAAACAAGACAAAATTATTGAACATTTCTTAAGATATATATAATTTAACCTCAATACAAAAGTACAAATAACATGAACAAAATTCAAGTATAACATCTTAAATAATGTAAACCTAGATACTTTAAGATTATCATCTCTGATAAACAGGACAAAATTACCGAATGTTTCGTAAGATACATACAGTTTAGCTGCAGTATGCATGTACAAATAATAACAAATTTGCAGGATTAAAAAAAAAATCAACTTCATTTTGGCCATAAATCTGTTTTTTAAGTTTGAATCTATTATCATATCTTAATACAACAATTCAATTAAGTTAGTGTTTTGATTTTAAAACCACCTTATTTTATGCCATTGTTTTTTTATTCATGAGCCCCAGATTTGAAGCCCTTTGGTTAAATTATATTGTTAAAGTAGAGTTAACATTTTTGATGAATGCAAGACAAAAAGAACTGAATACCAAGCTTAAAAGACATAAATGTCTCAACAGACACATTCTTAAATTAGTAAAAGTAAATTTTAAAAAGTAGAATTCACAAAATAATTTTAGTTGAAGAAAAATTGGTTGAGCCAGTTTAAAAAGAACGGAGGAATTTAATTATTCAATTCATGCCACATTATAATAATAATCATTCTATTTTGAGATTTACATGACCACAGAAGCATTCTAACATTATTTATTAGTAAAAGTACTTACTCGCTCTCTACTTCAGCTACTGAACATTTGTATCGAGCAGTGGAAAACAAACATATGTCAGCAAATTGTCGAACTGTAATATACCATATAGAAAAAAAACATAATTATCCTCCACCAACTAAAGTGAATGTAATGTTTTGTATTCTTCTTTATATATATATATACACACCTAATTAACTAATAATGAAATGTGCCTAGTTTCTCTAAAAAGTGTAATAAAAGTATAAATTGTACAAATATTATCAAAAAGTAATAGTTTTTTGCAATGAACTTACTAACCAGAAACTTTGATTTTTTTGACAGTTCTGTTGGAGTTGTTTGCAACATGCACATTAACTGCTATCTCTTCTCCATGGTAGTATAACTAAGTTCAGAAGAAAATGACAAAACCTTTATAAAAAAAAAGAAGCACTTCTAAGTGAAAAATTACCATACACTTAATTATTAGCTGCATATTAACAGAGGCCATTCTAATAAAGTTTCAATCAAAAAACTCAAGATAAAAAGTAACTTTAAGAACTATTTACATTTAAAACAACTTATATAAATTAAATATAGGAAATTTATGATTAATAGAGAAAATGAAAGCAATCATTCTAGAATATTTTTCTACTCAACAATATTATGCATGTTAGTTAATAAAATGTTAAAATATACAACTATCAAGTATTCTAAAAAAGTTGAATCATAATGCTAAGGAAACAGAGAATAAAAGTACATAAATAACAAGAGAAGTGAATTCTTAAAGAATATTCAAGCATCAAAACAATGTCAGGCTGACATGACAGTTTAAGAGTTGCTGCAATTACTCTTCTTCTGCCAGTTAGTTTCAATCATTTTATACTGAAATGACTCAGGATTACAGAATGTCAACCAGTTGTCATGAACTGTAATAACAAAAAGCTTCTCACATTACTTTTAAAAATACACTAGCTAAAAAATTTAAACTTTAGGCTACTTTATTTCAATGTCTTAGCTGATGTGTGTATGTTTTTAAATTATTTCATTTCAATGACTTTCTCCAAACTAATTAGATTTAAACTAAATGTATTACTTTAGCCTAGTTTTTCAAGTTTAATGACTAAATTTATGGATTTTCTTTACATGTTATTTTTTTATAGTTATTATCATACTTAGAAGTAGACCAAAATCATGAATAAAGTAAAATTCAGCTTTTTTTTTTATATTTCAGCAAGTTTATTAGGAGAAAACTAAGTTAATTTTGACAAATTAAGGTTAATTTTTCAAAAACTGAAACCAATTACATAGTTCTTGTATATTCTGACCATTTTATATAAATTAAATATCTATAGACATTGCAAGAGGAATGCTTAATAGGAAGATTATCACAATATGAGAAACAGATGCTAAGTGGACAAAACACATACTACAGATTGATATATACAAATATTAATTATATTATATTAATTATATAATTAAACATTATTTATCTTTTTATGATGTACAATTGAAGTATAAATAGTTGGTGAATGTCACAACACAAACTGGCCTAGAAGACAAATAATAACACCATTACAAAATTATTTGTATGCTTATGGATGTCTATCAAAAGCTGCCACCACAGGTAATTTTGTTCATGCGTAAAACCAACCCTGGTTCTGAGCTATTACCTCTTTATCTAGAGAAGCTTCGAGATGGAGTTTGTTAGGGGACATCATAAACTCCTTGCTGATTTCCACACTGGGCTGTTCCCCTTGCTTACTAGGTGCATACATAATCTTACGAATAGCCAGCCTTACAGAGTTTCTGTGTGAATAATCAAGGTGATAATACAAATGAAACTAGAAGTTACAAAAAAATCAGACTTGTAGTTATAGGTATTAAACCTATTAAAAGATATTTCAACTAACTCTTTACAGAAATTTTTGGTCATTTCTTAAATTTTAACCTGTAACTAAATTGGAAGTTCTGTAATATTCTTTCAAAAGTTACTTTCTACGAGATGACTACATAAATGATGTATTTCTTTACTGAAATGTTTTCCATTTCCACAATTAACCAGAACATGTTGCGAGATCCTTTCTAATGTCAAATGCACACCTCCATATCACAATTCATGTAACAATTTATGTGAAAATAATAATTTCAACTGTATTATAACAAATTTTTATTTTATGTAACACTTACAAAGAAAAATGTTCCATGCTTACATTTCTGCATAACTCTGAGGATATTTTTTAGAATTTTTCTGTCCATCCCAAAACAGAAGTTTTTATTTACTAAGAAATTACCATCTCATAAGAACACAATTAACCAAATCTTGTTTCTCTTGTCATTTTCCTTCTCTGTGAGTAGATTTATTATTACAGGCTTCATTCATATCACATGTTGTGAAGTCTTAAATAATGATGAACAGCTTTGAAAAATAACTAGATTTATTATTACAGGCTTCATTCATATCACATGTTGTGAAGTCTTAAATAATGATGAACAGCTTTGAAAAATAACTACAGGCAAAGTTTAAACACCACTGGATAGAGCATATTATAACAGTTAAGTAAATATAAGGTGAACAGTAAAATGAACTTATGTTTCCATAAGAAAGTAATTAAAAAAGAAATGTGGAATTAAGTGAGAAGTTTAGAAGAATTACAAAACAGGAACAAATGAACTATGATTTTTTTATAGTTTATTTAAAGATGTTCTTTTCATTACTGAAAATATTTCAGTATTAATTTATATTTGTTTGAAAGTTTTGACAATTTTCTTTCATGAAAAGACATTAAGTAAGCCTTATTAGATTTAGAGCATGGTAATGGCAGAAAAATATTCTAGTAACTCAAATCCTTATTTTTGAATTTTTTTAAGTTCATCATAATCAAACAACACAAATAAATATCTTATAATCTATTGAAAGGATAGTATAGTTAGTATATAAAAATCTATTTTGACCAAATATATTGTAAGCACAAATACTGTTACCTAGCCTGACCTGACACTATTCAGCGAGATCAACTCTTAGGTCACCAATAAATCTTTGTCAGTTTATTTAGCATTCTTTGCAACTTGTAGCTAGAAGTAGTGATTACTGCAATCCGTAAAATAATGTTTTAAAAGAAATATGTTAATGAAAATCAATCATGTTGAAATTGGCTGGATGAACAATAAAAAAATTTAAATTCTAAAAGGAGGTATTTCTAATGTTTTTCAAAAGCGTTTCACAACAATGTTTGATATTTGAAGATGTAAAAAAAAAAAAAAAGATAAAAAAGCACATCAAATTATATTAATTTTTTAAGCCAAAATGAGAAACTCATTAGTAAGTTTGTGCTAAGTTTCACTCAATTTGGTTAAAAATTTCCATTGTTAGAGGAAAAAAAAATCAAGTTAAATCAGTGACACCTTTTGGTCCAGAAGGGATTATCACATACATTGTTTTTTTAAAATTCCTATACTTTTTGAAATTTAACACAACAAAGTAGGATATGTGACACTAGTGAAGTATTGTGTATTTAAGTGTAACAGTGTTTTAAGATAAATACATAACACAAATACTAATATTCAGCTTGTAAAATATGATCTCTCTCCAGAAATAAAAATAGAATTTTTTTAAAAGAATGTAACTGAATCTTTAATAACAGTGCTTCAAGAACACAGAGTATTCAGCAAACATTCTGTATTCATTTTTACCTTTTTTTTTTTTGGTTTTCGGAATCTTTCTCATGAAAATACCCACACTGTCATATTAAGTGTTCTTTTAATAACAACATTTAAAAGTAAGACAAATAAGTAATGGGTATTTCTTTTGCTAAACATAGTTTAGGCAATAGATGGTTATGCTACCATTGAAGTATAGTTTGTTTGGTGACTAGAAGCAGTTGAACTTTGGTGTTTCCTCAAAACCCTTCATTAGCTGAGTCAGCATGAGTACAACGTAACATGTTTACATAATCCATTTAAAGCAGTTTTGAGAGACAACATCATTTCAATGGTGTTATTCATACTGTATACTGTAGGTAAGCTTTGGTTTACTGTGTGACTGGTTGTACAAAATAGGCATCATCTCTAATATCACAATGCACAATAAGAAACAGCTTTTTTGTGTTACTTTGGCCCAGATCCAATTCAACAGTTGGTATGTAACAAAGTTCTTATTAACTAAAGGAATCTTATACATTCCATGAATAAACTGTAATACACTTTCTAATATTAGAAAGGTGAGGTAAAAATAGGATAATGGAGAACCAAGCAGAAAAATAACAGAAGACATTAAAATCTGACAAAAACGGATTACAAATTCATTTTAAAGTCTTGCCTTTTGTGAGGTTTTTCTTCTTCAGTGTCAGCAACATAAGCCTTCAACTCATAGTCCACTCCACATGGTTTCCCAGTATCTCCTGGTGCTGGCTGGAGTGTGACTGATGCAGGACAGTGAGGTGGAAGCTTAAGAAAATAAAGTTTATTATGAAACCTCATCATTACGAGTTCAGATCTTTCAAGCAAAATACACTCAACTTGAAACTACACAAAACTAGTATTACAATCCTTTATATTGTAAATATCTAGGAAATGCTTTTGATCTTTCACTTCCCTCTGCTTGTGATATTCAGTTGGAAACATGGCATAACTTTTCCCTTCACATATTTTTAAAATATTACTTCTTATTTTATCCACCTTTCTTAATAAATCAATTTCAATACATTTTTCAATAATTTTTCATTAAAATTATTTGAAGAAAGATATTTCCTTCAAAAACAATTCTGCTCCAATGAGCAAACTATATATATATTAGTCTTCTAATGTTAAAAGTTAATGACAATTACATTTTGATATCTGAATGAAAGTTGTGCTTAAACTAAAGTTATCCATTTCAATGGAAGTCTTCAGTCTTTGTAACTAACCAGTTTATAAGTTCTTTTAGCAAGCAAGATAGTCTGTTTGAAGAAGTTCACTAAAACGACTCTGACCTCAAAGTAAAATGGATAAGAATTTGGCCCTAGTTTCCTTATGAGTCTCTCCTGAAGCCGTGTCAAGGGTTGTTTGGTTTCAGTGGCTATTTCTAAGGGATAGATCTGTGCTGATGCTAAATACAAGTCTTTCCGGAAGGTCAAACCTAAAACATCTAGATCCTCCCTACCATAGCGAAAGGCTGCCAGAACATGTCCAAATACTTTACGCTCCTTCATGTACTCTGGATCCACTAGGATAACACCATCTGCTCAAAAAGAAGTTTAGTAATTCAGCATTTATTGAAAAATCAATTTTTCATTAAGTTTTTGTTTTTCTCAGTGCAACAAATCCACCATTAGGAATCAAACCCCAGATTTTAGCACTGCAAGTCTTTAAACCTACCCAACAAAGGATTTTTTGTTAAAGATCATGCAAAATGGCTTTACTTAAGAAGTCTCGATGTAAACAGTACCTTACTATCACACTGGATTCTACAACAAGAAAGCCTGAAAACTTTACACAAGAAGAAAGTATCAGCTAAGTGTTTTATAACAATTTATGGTTATTTGGGATGGAAAAATTGCTGGAGAAATTTAAGTCAAAAATCAAATTAATAAAACTGACAATCTGTTTGTTTGTTTTTTTTTCATATTTTTTAAATCAATTTTTGTTTGTTTTCATATTTTCATAACTGACAACTTTCATCTACGATTAAATACATGAATGGGCTTTTAGTCTTTAATCATACAACTCGGGGAGAAATGGCCAAGTGATGTAAATAACTTGAAACAAAGGTACGAAGAGTAGTCCACATACCAGCCCCGATGATGACCTCTAAAGAAAGACAGAGATAGGCAGACAGGGACTTGGGCAAGTTGACAGATTTTACAAGAAGATACCCTAAAAAGGCAATACTCCACAGGCAAAAGGGAAGAATACACCAGCCTAATTGTAAGGGTAATAGGAGAGAGGTCCCAGGGCATGGAGAGATTCCATGAAATAAACAAGTGGTTACGTAAACCATGTAAGGGAGCAGCTTGAGCGAGATATCATTGGAGGTCACAGACTGGAAACAAGAGGCAGTAAGGATCAGAATGGACATAAAAGTGGGAAATGGAGGAACATCAAATGGGAGAAAAAGCGGAATTACCCTCCCTCACAGCAGAAGTCTTTGGCAAAAATGAACAGTGAGGGAAGAGGAGAACATAGGAACTGTGGAACAGCACGAATTGCATCAATTGCAAAGATCTCAGATCGCTGCCAGTTACAAGTCAATAATATAAGGAATAGGGATTTGAAGGAAAGGTGATATAAGGAACACGAAGATAAAGGTACAAATGGAGGACAAGTGAGAACATGAAAGACAACATTGAGATTCCAATCCAGAAGAGAGACAAGGCAGGTAGAATAGGAAAGGGAAACAAATGATATAACAAAAACAACACTGGATATTGGAAAACAAAAGTACATTTAGTAATTCTAAACTTACAAGATAATGCAGCTCAATAGCCAGCAATTGAGGAAACTGATAGTCCCCTAACAAAGAACCAAGTGAAATATGCAGTCAATTGTAGTAGTGAAGGACGATATCCTTGGTGGAGTGAACAGCAGTGGAAAGTATACAATTAATGTGGATAAACTGCCAAGGTGAATAGATGTACAGGATGAGCAATCAACGAGGGAACATTCCTTGAAAATCCGGATTGTCTGGCAGGGGACCGGACAAAAGTCATACGTGAAGCCGGAGGCCAGGAATGGACAGATGATGCACATCTGATTAAGATTGACGAAGGAGTGTTGGAGACAATGGCAAAGGAAGGGGAGGAGACACTGAAAGCCTGTATGGAAGTGGAAACCATGTCTGAGCAGGCTAAAACCTGAGCCACTAAGAGCACAAGACACAGAGTGGTCTGAAACAATGAAAGGACCCTGGGAAAAAGACAAATAGGAGGATATGCATACAATAATATCCCTTCCAGATTTGACTGAGAGCATCTACAGCTACTGCTAAAGGATGAGGAACTGGAGACTAAATATGGGGAAGTTGTGCATTGATTCAGGGCACCCAGAATATGACATGCAAACAATCTCATGTGATGATTGTGAGCCCAGTAGAGGAGATTCAATGTTTGGAAACAAAGATCTTGTTTGGTGATATAAGACACTGTGGAATTGTCGGAGTTGGCCATCACCAAACCTCTTGAGTGTTGAGATATGCACTCCAACCAAAAAGGGAAGCAACTGTAAAAAAATAACAATCCAGTCAAGGAAGTGGAAGAGGAACTCCAATGGTAGTACTGGTCCAATCCAACCACCAAGCAAAGTAGGCCTGTTGGTGAGGAGACAGGGTAGTAGGAGCAACTAAGGGATCCTGAATGAGGCTCCACTTGTCGAGAAACACCCACTGAAGGTGATGCAAGTGGGCACAACCAAGGGGAATGAGGACTTAGAGGGAAGCTCACATCCTCAAAAAAGATAGGGTCTCTTGTGCAGTAAGAGAGGGAGAGGCCAATAGACCACAAATGAGATGTTCCATATCCCATAAACAAAGGGGAAAAAGCTGGGCCCAGATGAAGAGGTAATTTAAAAACACACAGAGATGAATTAGACATTGTGAGAAACGACTTCTCCTCCTTGATGAGCCAACCCACTCTGGCAGTCTCTCGAGGAAGAAACTAAGCATCTCCAATCCAAAACCTGACTACTCGGCAGAAAGCATAAGGAGCCAAAGTCAGGACAAATGGTTGAGCCCAAGACTGATAAATATGCCCCTGATAAACAAAATAGAGAAAATACTGGGATGCCTGGGATATAGGAATGTGTAGATAGCCATCTGACACATCAACCTTTGTCATCCACAACCCTGGAGTGAAAACCCACTGAAGGGTTAAGTAGAACAACATCACGAAATTTGGAATGATTAGGAAACAGTTCAGAAATGATAAATCTATAACCAGTCTCTAATCTCACATCTTTATGGGTACAATGAACAGACAGGTGTAAAACCCTGGCTGAGAAAGTTCCCCAAATTCTCTGGTCTCTTTCTGAAGTAAGTCCTGAACCGCCTCCTGTAGACACTAGCAAGAAACAGGATCTTTTGGTGGTGAGAGGGGGAGGCAATGGGATCAGGAAAAGGAAGCGAAGGGCCAAACCCTCTGAAAGAACCTGTAGGACCCATGGTTCCATTGTAAATGTTATCCATATAAGATGAAAATGGAAAAGCCTGGTCCTCACTGGCCCGAACTCTGGGTCCAAGTCATCAATGCTATAATCCTTTAAAACACCTTTGAGTGACAACTCGACTGTGAATTGATAAAGAACGAGAAGCCAGAACCAACAACGGGTTAAATGGGAATGGGGAGGGGGCGTCACACAGAAACAGTAGGAGGAAGTTGGAATAAACAGGAAGCTAACGAGGATAAGGAACTATGCAGACAAGCTGACTCAACTCAGATCTCCATTGACTCGGGAAATCCCCCAAACACTTCTTCATGTCAAAAAGGTGCCATGCGCAAGTAGTACCAGGAAGGAGCAAGTAAGCATACTTGAGAAAGAATGGCATCCTGACCAATAATAAAAAAAACCAGACTTTACAAAGTGACCCATCTTAATTGTGTTCTAGTGGACCTGTATTTTGCAAAATAGAGCCACATTTCAATTATAATACATTATCTATGTATATACATTATTACTCTTTACAAATAAGTAAAAAGAAGTAAAGAAAACAATTATCTCTTCTAGTTACTAACTCTTTAATTGTTTGCTAAGCCTTATAAAATTTTGCACGTGGAGAATGTAAAACAAAACAATTTTTTTGGTTTTATATATGCATTTTGAATTTAAAAAAATCATAAATTACT